CTACTCACACTCATGCCCCAACACGTCTCTGCCCAGCCAGTTGCTAAAAAGAAAACTGTGATGTATTAAGGTCAGTTTGCCTTTCCTGTGATGCATCAGGTGAATAAGATAGAACATGACTCTGACTCAGAATTGGCTCCACACTCCTCATGACCGTCTAAGATTCAGACCCAGGTTGACGAATCCATCTCAGACCTCAGACCCTACTCTAGAGATGATTGAAACTTGAGAGCAGCAGGTGGGCGTGGCTTTTGTGCTCCAAACTCCATCACCCTAACCATCCCAGAGCAGAAACCCCTGATAATTTTTTTCATGGGAAATATTCTAATAATTTGAGATACTGTATTTCTGACTTTTAATAGGACAAGCTATAAACATCTACCCTAAAATGAAAAAGAAAGGCTTGAATGACTATAAAGTGTATGGAAGTTTAGACTTTTTGAATCAAACTGACAAAAAACTAAGTGATTCTCTGCCTGTTTGAGATACACCTGTACTCACCTGAGACTTCTACACTCTCTTTTATAATACCATAAAACAAAAGTTTTCTCCAGTTCACACTGGAATTTGCATTATCATTATTTTTGGCTTATATTGTATTAGATTCCTATAGTTGATTGTGTTAGAAAAAGCACATTAACAGTTGATCAATTTTAATCAAGTGTCCTGGTGAAGTGTGGCAGATAGAACGTTACCAGGATCCTGAAACTGGTGCAGTGTGATCAGTCGTTATGGAGTGAATTTTCAACACTGCTTTGAGCAATAACACATGACCCCTATGATTTCAAAAGAAATCTGAAACATTGTGGAAACTGAAAAGATATTAGCAGATGTTCAAATCAAATCTTTACGGTGTTAAAACTACCATAAAACCTGCACCCTTCTCTTCACACGACTACAGTAGGGCTTGTCTCACTGACTCCATGACTTCCTGACCTCCAGTCTATCTTTGTCCCAGCATTGCATTGCCACATCCCACTGACTCAGTGGAAAACTCATCTAGGCCTAATTACATGGCCGTGGCTTCTCTCCCTCTTACTTTCTTTCATTGATGAGGTACTTTCTTTCTTTCTTTCCAGGCTTCTTTTTTCTCCTTCGCTCTTCCACTGTTCTTTTCTCTTTTCTCTCGTTTCTCCTCTCCCTGCGCTCCAGTTACCAGATCATGGTAGCCGTGCACAATCAGCCAGCCAGACCCCCCCAACACACACACAAGACATCCAACACTCTAATGTGGTCAAGAGGCCACGGGTACACGGGTACAAAGGCTTTCAGATGTTGTATTGTTACTTCCCTGGGGTCAGCCATAGGTTAGGACCCAGTCTTAATTAGTTGACATAACTTATACATGATTACCTCTCTTAAGATCTTATGGCCCCAAAACACACACACACATACACAGGCGCGCACACACACCCAAACACACACACACATCATGTCTAAGGTTTACAATAGAGGGGTCAGCTAGGTGAAATGTAAGGAACCCTGGGAGGAACCTTATCCCAGGAACGTCAGACGCCACAAAAACAACGTCAGAAACAAAAGTCATGTTAATGATAGATGACAGTCTGGGGTCAGACCTCAGGTCCTATGTCAGGACCTACACTGCTGTTACCAGGTATCACAGAGAGAAGAGCACAAGGAACATTAAACGAGGTGAACAAAATACTACCTCACCTTTGACAATCCAGAGTTTTCACCCTTGGTATCAAAACAGCAACAAAAAATAATAACCAATAAAGCTGGTAGGCAGTAATAGGTTCAAACCCTCGACATAAACACAGAAACATGAAGAAAGATGGACTGATGAAATCGTAATAAACACTGACTAATGGGCAGCTATAGGTTTTAATCCTTGATAAATCAACATGAAGATAAATTGACATGAAAAGATAATAAGCACAAACTAACAGGAAGCAGCAAGTATTGATTTTCATAGGAATGATTGATCTACATATTATGAAACTGACTTATTATTTATGTGACGAGTATTACATGTAAAAAAATGTCAATTCATTTATTTAGGAAATGCTTCAAAATTGAGGGAAAATAGAAAAAAAATCAACAAAATCTCTATTTAGTATCATAAAGGACAAAGAAGGCAAATCCCTACATTTTAGAAGGAAAATAAAAACTAACAGCATCTTTATATTTTATCTTTCAGCTTCAATAGAAATCAGGGAAAATGGATGAGAATGAAGCAGAATATAAAGGCAGCATAGGTGAACGAATGTGTTGATATCTTTAGAAAAGAAAAGTAAAAGTCCAGTGTGGATGTTTTAAGACAGATTCTATTACAAACAGCAAAATGCATTTTCCAGAAATGTTTTAAATCTTCAACACAAAGCGGTTACTCACTCTTTTATAATCTGCTCTTAATGCAAAATGATATTGTCTCTGCAGTAAGGACATTTTAGCCTGCAGTCACTTCTCTGGGATTGATTAACCTCCTGCTCCAAACATGTACATTCATATTTAGATCATGCATTTGTATTTTGAAAATTTATTATTTATTTAGATTTATGATTTACCATAGACTAACAGATATTTGATAACAATTGTCATCATGATTACTCAGCCGATTGTAATTTACCAACCTGAATTACTCTCATTGTTATTGGAGGGAATTTTGCACTGGCAGCTCCTGCAAGAGACTGCATGGTTACAGCAGGTCCGATCAATTTTCTGTCCATAACATAGACGCCACCGTAACAGAAATTAACATGCTTGTGTCTATAAACAATTCAGAAACATCAACACGAGCTGAAATCCATTTTGCAACCACAAGAAATAAAAATGACTGCCATCATTACCAGTCTATATTACACTTCCAGAAAGTTTAGGTACACTCGGGTTATGGTATTAATTTGTTTGGGAAATGCTTACTGCTCTTTGCTGTAATGGGGCTCAGGGGAGGAGATGAGATCCAAGGCCAAACCATGAGGAAGGAAAGTGAACGTCAACAACAACAGCTTAATGATGCTCTGGTAATGGAGCACAAGCGGGTCACTTAGAAAAAGTACTCACTCTGGCAGGAGGAAAAAACACACTCAGACACACATGGCACTATGTGAACTATCGCAGACGCCAAGTATTTGTACACAGACATCCAAACTCATGAGCCTTAAATGTGTGTAAGTGAACATGTTCACAGATACAGACACCTTTGAACTGCAGAAATGTTTAATGTGTTTGAATGTCAAAGGTTTGGATATAAAGATTATTATTGTTTTATTAAAAAATAAGCTTTATTGAGAACTGCAAGAAGGGGTTGAAGATTTTCTGCATGGCGGCTCAATTCTAAATAATTGAACATGATGAAATAGCAATTTATTTATGCATTATTTATCATTTACTAATTATTTTACTTGTTTAGGTGTAGTGATGTAAAATGAATAAATGAGTGTAGAGGAGGGGGAATTACAGCTCTATTGTAAAGTATGACTGTATACCTTATTGTTATATTCTGGCTGAATCTGCATTCAATTTCAACATTACCTAATAATAAAATGAAACTAATGCATAATTACATTTTTTAAAAGCATTTGGTTAAAGTTGCGAACAACACACCATTTGAAAAAACACACTGACCTGTTTTCGCACAGATATATGAGAAACATTTTGCATAAAAAAGGTAATTTTCTAAATGTTTGGCAAACCCTTGGTGATTTAAATAACTTTGTGTTTAAAGCATACTTTTTAAAATCCAAATCAAACAGTTTAACCTTGAAGTTTAACATTATGTAGACAGTTAAGAGTAACAACACACCCCTTTAATATTAGAGGCTTTTTATGTTAAAAAGACAGCGAGCAGTCTCTTGTCAGTGTGCTTTTAACTCCCTCTAGAGGCTGTTTGATTATATTACACCTAAGGAAACAATTCCTACGGAGTGCAGACATTGTGCTGAGCTGCCAATACTTTATGAGCCATTAAACTAACAGATGAGAGATGTAGAAAACAGTCTTCTGCTTCACAGAAAATTCACACAATGACCTGAAACCCAAAGGCAAAGCTTTCATTAAAATTGCTGCAGTGAAGCACTATCAGGCTCAAGGTATGTTTAGTTGGTCTGCTGTATAGTTTTTGTTGAGTCTTTGGAGAAAGGTCCCCAAACAATCCTGTTATTTTTTAATTCTGTATATATCATAAACTAAATAAGATGTCTAAAATGATAAAGTTTTTAAAAATAAATGAGTAGAATCTTTTATAAAAAATGAGGCAACACTTGGGGAACTTAACTCAACTTTTAAAAAACTTTGGGGTGAAGTAGCACATTCAAATCTTTTAATGTTTTTACTCTCTGTGTTACTTTACTTTGCAAGCTCACTTACATCTTTGATTTCTAGAAGTGTGTTTAACCTAAAGCAGGCCAAATGATGCCAATTTAATCTACTCTAATCACTCTAAACCATGCATGACATTAAACCTCAGTATTTGTTAGGATCCCCATTAGCTGCGCTCTGGAGCACCGCTAGTCTTCCTGGGGTCCACATTAAAAAAAAATACATTTAAATGTACATTTATGATTACAACACGAAAAAGACAAGACAGGTCAACAGGAACTTACATTAGATTTTAACAAATCATAATTAAATAAAATAAAGGAGTGAAACAAATCAAAACGACAACAACAAGGAAACCTACCAGCCTGCATTGCACCCCATGTGCGTATGCTTGAGTGAAAATGTATATGTGTGTGTTATTTTACAGATATGAAATTCCAAGATGTTTTTTTAATTTGCGTTTTAAATGTTGTTTCCTGTGTGAGTTTGGTTATTGGCAGTGGCGAGGAGTCCCATGCTTTTATTGATCTGTGTTCTATTGTATACTACGGTATGACTTGAACCCGTGACAAATCAGACCCTTACAGGTGTCATGAATGTTATTTTAGTACACTGAGTCGAGTTTTCAGAACAAGCTTTAGACATGTTTATTCCTGCAAAATAAAATAGCTGTACATTTAAGAGCTCAAATTTGAGACCACATGAAGACAAAGCAGAGATTTCAATTAAAACAGCTTTATTGGTGTGCATCATCAAAAGAGTTGGTTTATCTGGAATAGCTGGAAAGTCTATGAAGACCATCAATGTTTGAAGAAAGAAATCCTAACAGCAAGTTCTCTAATGGAAAATGCTCTAGAAAAAAAGTCTGAATGGTAAATTAATGAATGACTATACAAGAACATCACTTGTTACATGTGAAAGCATCACTTTCTCCAATACGCCATTCTCATAGGATTTCATTTAAAAAAAGGCTTATTTGGAGGTATACAATTATCATCACATAAAAAAAGAAAAACACTGTTTTCTGTAAGTAGGAATGTGGGTCCTCAAAAGGTGAGCCTACATGGAAATGGAAATCAGCCTGAATGGAGACAAGCTGTATTTTTTATTTTATTCATTTTTTTGTGAATGATGTTGGGTGGCACTAATAAAAAAGGTAGATACAAAGGCTTTAGTCAAACACTGGCAATGCGCATAAAACAGCATGTCAAACTATCAGAAACCGAAGTGAATATTTCTGGTTGTAGTTTTTTTTTTTTTTTCAGCATACAGTCCGAACAATTTGATGCCATTGCATAGGACAAAAGTGTGTAATCGATGAAACAATCTCATGAGAAACAACATTATTACCTTGCAGCATTTGTATCAGCTTATCACAGTCCAGTTAAGTTCATGTTTGGATGAGAGGGGGGAAAAAAGCTGACCAGCAATAAGACACACAAACACACACATTTTCAGTTGGCAGGTTTCAGTCTGGTTACAAGAGATTGCTTTGTATTTGACCCTTCAGGATGCTTGATAGAGGAAGAAGTTATGATTCGAAACTGAACACAGAAAATTTAAAAAGGTAAAATTTTGTTTGGTCCATGTGCTGAAACATCGCCTTATTGTACAGAACTTCTGCAGGATGCTAAATGTGTGACTGAGGGTTAAGATTTCTGAATTTCTGTCCCAGACATTTTATGATTATCTAACCAAAGTATGTTTGGTGATGACTAAAACAGTCCTTTGGCAGAAGTGAATGATCAAATAATCAATTTAAACCTTTTCACATGCATACGAGTATAATTTTGCAGTAATTCAAGACCACTGTTTGGTTTCTACAAACCTGTCAAGTCAAATAAGTTATCTGGAATGTGTCAGCGTGAGCGCAGATGTAGTGAGGCAAGAGGGCGTTTCCATGATTCCAGAAATGCTACCAGGAAAACCACATCTGTGTTTTTCTCCTTTTTGCAGGTTCTAAGCTTCACAAGTGCTGACATTCAGCCTCGTGGAGATTTTTGTGACCCATGAAAAGTTTTTGAGGAGTTAGACACCCTAACAAGAATGTAACATTGAATTATAAGACATCTGCATGAAAACACACTTTCTGTAAATTTGCAGCACTCATCGATTTTCAGCGACCAAGCATCAAAAAGGATGAAAAGAAAAACCTGTCCTATAGTGCTATAGGTGACAGAATTCTGAGATTGTGGAGTTTGGGGGATTTTTACTTACTTCCTGCCCAGCTGCTTGATGATATTAGCTCCAAACAGCGTCCTCTTTGTTAGTGAAAATTAACATCTTATAACAATTTATTTGCAACGATCACAGTCCCAAAAGGACCAAGATGAAAATTTTTCAACACTGCACCCCAGTTTAAGTTTATATGTGCTGATCTTAAACTGTTTAAGGGTTTTCAGCACCAGTTAAGTTCAGTGACACAGAGGTTTTTACGAGAGAGGATTAGGGCCACATGAAGAAAAATAGAAAATAGATACAGGAAGGAGATTAAAGTTGAAATTTTGAGATTAAAGTCGAAATTCCAAGATTAAAAAAATCTAAAATATGTCAATAAAGTCAAAATTTCAAGATTAAAAATTGAAAATTCGAGATTAAAGTCAAAATGTCAAAATTACGAAATGTCATGTATAGTGGTGAAATTATTAAATTTCAAATTTTTTCAGGGAATTTCAATTTTTTTAATCTTGAAATGGACATTTAAAAAATCTCCCTCCTGTAATTATTTTTTCTCTTCTTGTGGTTGAATCCTCTTTCATAGGTTTTGCCAGGATGGTGAGTTATGTCATTATTTTGGCCTCACCTACAGAGATAAACAGACAACATAATAGAAAAACAGATGGCTACCTTTTTTTTTTAGCAGCTATGAAAGCTGAAAAATACACCAAAGCAGGAGCATAAGGTTTAGTTCTGGTGACTTTGACACTCAGTCAAAATGTACATCATTTGAATTACTTGAGCCAGTTTCAGGAGCATGAATGAAAATGTAACATCCTATGCTACGTGATTCGTCAATCATCATCACACAGAGGGCATATTCTACAAAAATAAGTAACTTTGTTTAAAAGGAAGAATGCATCAGATATTAAATATAGTCATAGATTAAAAAAGAAAAAAAAAACCATTAAAATACAAAAGTAGTCCAAAAAACATGTAAAGAAAAAAATAACTGTGTATCTTAACTAATCTAATACTTAAAGCTTCAACACTTTGAGTTGAAAAGATTTGGACTTAAGAATACCACTGCAGGTACTTGATTTTTTTTAAACAGGGCAGTAAATCTCTCTCAAATTCAAAACAAATCATATTGACACACCGCAAGAAGCCAATTCAAAATAAAATCACTTCAGTTGGGCTTTTATACATTCCTATGTCACATTTCAAAGCTTATCTCGCTATAATTTACATCAAAGGCAACTTTCTAGTTACAATACTATGGGTGCATAATTTGGGGCAGTGCAAGTCAAAGCTTTTTTTTTTTTTAAAGTCCCACGATGCAGGACTTTAATCTTCTAAGTATCATTAAATTGTCAATTACTGAACAGATGTGCATAAGTCCAAACATCTCATCAGGAGAAACACAACGTCATGAATGTTAGCTGAATTCAAAATTGATGTTTGTTTTTTACCTGTTTGGCAGAAAGTGAGAAAAGGAAACGTAAGCAAAGCAAAAGAGACATAGAGATGGATTGAGGGGAGGAGGTGTTGGCTTTCTAGTGGAGTTACCTGAACTCTCCTGGGCTGAGCGCTCCATAGCTCACTCTGATTTGTTCATGCTGATCAGACTAAAAACTAAACCGTACAGAAGAAAATAATGATAAAAAAAAACTCTCTTTCTTTTACACTAAAAGTTGTCCCTCCCCCCGTACGCACACGAGACCGATGGACACCAAACACACACAGAGAAGATTATTTTGCCAAGCATAGTTGTAAAAAAAAATTACATGCTGACTGAACTTTAAAGGTTGTCTGTGTTTTAGTACATGACCGTTGCACACAGGCCAATTACCGTTGGGCTGGGATCATGATAATACTCGACAAAAAAACAACAAGAAAAATGGAAATCCAAGTTCAAACTGGAGTTAAAGTTTGGTCACCAACACACGCCTGGACATAAAGATGACTTTGGTAAAATAAGATCCCGGAGTGTCAGAACTACTTGTCTTGTGTTGACAGAATCAAAGTTGTGCTGTGGTTGGTAGGTACCGAAGCGAAAGGGCTGGAAAGTGGGCTGGAGAGACTTTTATTCAACTAGAAAGTCACATGTGCTATTTCAGAACGGCCATTCACTCGTCATGAACAGAACGAAGGTCCATCCCGCTCTGTTCCTTCATGAGCACAGCCTGAGTCAAATACCTGATCTGGTCATTTACAACATCACTCTGCTTATTCGAATGTTGCAGGGTGATTTCAACTAGTAGGTCCATCATTACTGGAATGTCAATTGTAGTCCGACGGCGCCCCAAGTATTCAGGCCCGCTGTGACATCACTGTCACCACACCCACTTTTGTTCATCAGCAAAGTCTTTCCCCAATCCTAAAAGGTACAATATGAAATCCTTCCTTTTCTGTGTACATATTCATGATGTTGTTACGACATGAGATCAAGACTGCATGGTGGTTTCTCCAAGGACATACTGATCAAATGTTGTGGAATGTCATTTCGACTAAGTGTGGGCTGCAGCAGCAGCAGATCCCGCTTTAGGACATACTGGAGCAGCGCACCGATGGTGAGCCCATCTGGGTCAGTACCTTATCCAACCACTGGAGGGGGCCGTTAAGATGCAACTCAATCCAACAGGGTGTGCTTGTTACCGTCTGTCGTCTGTAGAGATGAAACACATCAGTTAGAGCTTTGTTTCCAGAGGAGGCCGAAAGTTGATTAATCACAACTGTAAGAGGAGTTCATTAAAAGTGTCATTCGCCCCCAATTTATGTCAGTGTTTCATGTTAAGACTTAACAATTTTGAGTGGTGTCTTCTTTTTAAAAAACAAAACTAATGCAGTTCATACATTTTGTTTTCTCTCATTCAAAAAGTGTAAAGGTGCCTTTACAAATTAGCCTAGTAATCATACTCCTGTGCAAAGATAACTTACAATAAACAAAAATGTGAGGTGATGATCGCCAATTAACGTTAAATCACAACAGACCCCCCAGGTGCCTAATCAAGTCAAAAAAAGGCAGTGATCGCAGATTTATAATCCATACCCACGAGGGATGAGAAGATTAACCGATACAAGTCGATACGCAATGCCGTTTTGAATGCATATCGAGATGTATCGTTATTGTACGTTTGTATCGATGCAATCCGATTCGTTTAATACATGACTTTTATTTTTACGTTACCGCACCATTTTGAAGGCATTATTTCTTCGGACTTACGGATGTACACTACAAACTAAAGTATCAGCTCCGCGGATGCACTACATGTGCCGCGGATCAATACTAGCAGTGAGAAGGAATGTGCCGCGCTGCTGTAAAATACACTGACAGTACGACTAACCTGATAACTCGGCACCACGGTCTTGTCATGGAGGGGTCTGCTAGCGCCCCCGTCTCCTCAGTTTCCAGCTCAAATTCGCCTGCAGCCAGCAGCTCCAAAAATGGTGACCAAAGTGTTGCAAAGTATTTTCCATGCCTCGCTTGTGAAAAACTCTACGTGCTCAATGGCAATAAGGTATGCTTTAGCATTCCTTATCTGCAAAGACATTCAGCCTTCCAGTGTAATAGAAAATAGAGGTTTCAAACACCTCCTCTTTGTCTTGGACCCCAAAAGCAGATCTCTGCCCTCTACAACAAAGTTTGAAGAGAGATAGCGTAGTCTGTAGAGCAAATCCCGAAGTAGCTCTGTGCCGTGATTTGGGTGTGAGTCGTATCGTATTGGATCGCATAATACCACACATGTATCTTTAATACATCGCATCAAAGACATTGTATCTAAATGTGTATTGTATCAGCCTTATACCTAAGAGGCCCAACCCTAATACCCGCAGATCTACAAACCACAGGCATGAGTTACTGTACCCACACATTTTTGAAAAAGATGTCTTCCTCCAACAGAGCCTATAAGATCGATCATTTATCCCCATGCACTGTTAATTGTTGAATAATGATGTGAAAACTTACATGTTAGTTTTTTTTTGTCCATTTACCACAGAAATCTGTAACTTCTCAATTATCCATCCTGCCATAATGCAGCTCTAGTTTTCTCCACTTTTGTCACATATAACACCTCAACGTGCACTGAGTGAGCAATCAGAGCTGTTGTCTTCATATTCCCATTGTTCATGTGGGAATTTAAGATCAACCCTGAAGAATCACATCCGTCTGTGTGACACTTTTTCAGATACGGATATACTTCAGTGTCACAGTGAAATTCCTACACAAGTATGGAAATCAATTTGATCAATTTCCAGGTCTTAATAAATTTGGAAAATGAAAAATAAAGTATGAAAAATATATATGTTTCCAGACTTTTACCACAGTTCTGGAAATACTGCTTTCTAAGATAGAGAAGTAGGTATTTCCAAAAATAATTCTAAAATGTAGGGTACAGAAAAATAATTAAATTCCAACTGTGTAGGAACCCTGAGTGTATAACTTACCTGTACTCTGCTCCCCAGCCCTTGACGAAGCTCATTCTGATGGTGCACATCCTGGTTAGTTGGTAGACCGCCTCAAAGCCCTGATTGACTGACTGGGCGAGCAGTGCAGCAAACTCCTGGTTATTAAAAATCTTCAGATTACAGCCTTAAAAAAAAAAGAAAAGGAGAGTTTTAGTTCAATCGTTGGTCATCAGTATCATCAGATAGTTCAGGCGAATGTGGACTTTAAAAACATATGACTTCAAAACAAAGGCAGCACTGCTAATATGAGGAGTGGGTGTACCGTACATTAATGGCAACTCTTACAAGTAGATCTCTGATTATCTACACGGGTCAATGACCTTACTGCTTTATGTACAAGTCTGCTCCTTGGTAATGATACTGTTCATACTGCTCACTTACAAACGTTACAAGCTCTCAGACATTCTCATCTTTATTTTCTGTTATATATTTTTTCAGTTACATCAGACTGAAGAAATTACTTTGGGGGACTAAACAGTTTTTCAATTGTGAATCACATCAGATTTTACTGAATCTAATCAATTTAAACCCAAGAATCAAATCATAACCATCAAGAGCTGAATCAGACTGTCTTCAAAGGGACAAAAGTACATCTATATATATCTCCTTACAAAGAACATATATAGGATCCCTGCCCACTTAGATCACTGCAAGGATAATAAGAGGCTGCGTTTCAACCACAGAGGCTGTATTTGTGATTCTGTAAGATGTGAATAAACCTGGTGGTATCTTGCAGACAGTGGCGGGGTGCCAGCCGTATCGTTGGTTGCAGTTGGGACTCTGGACAAAGATGGCACTGTCACTGAGGCACTCTGCGAACACTTCCCCTCCGATATAATACAACCTCACGCCACGACCTTGGTGCAAGAGAGATGAAATGCAAAGATGAAAAGGGCTGAAATACAGTTTAATAGTCTCTCCATGTATTAACTTTTATTTTTGACATGGGCCTACATTTTTTTTTCAGTTTTGTAACCGATACTCTCCTTAATTCGGACATGTTACTCTGTAAAATACAACTAACTTTAAAAGATGATTTCTGATGAGTGTGTACTCTTGTACCTATATGTCTTCTTGTCATCTCGACAGTTGCGTTCCTGTTAACATTGCTGAGAAGCCCCAGACAGAAACGTTCAGAGTTGGAAGGGTCGGTGAATCCATCCACTGTGAGGGATGGCTGTGAGGCGTGGAAAGTTTCCCCAACCCGCTGGTTTAATTCGTAGTAGGCTATTGAGCACCAGAAAGCCGGCTCGCTGTAGGTGACAGGCTGAAGGTCTGAAAAGAAATCGAGGAGATACTTTAGATATTCCTTCTTTTCCAAGAGATTGAAATGTTTCCATTTGAATAACTCACTGTTGACAAATGCAACTATTACTGTCCATTCACAATATCAAACACGATTCTCTCTCACATTTCTTTACACTAAGAAGTTCGTATTGTCAAGCTACAACATTAACGTCGTACTGGTGGAAATCAGAAATAGCGCCGTCTTACCCAAACTATGACTGACAGGTGACAGGGTATTTGGTGACATTTCTGCTGGTGAGCCTTAGAGAAAAAAAAAAGGACACATCCAAGTGTTTAGATTTGGGGTAAATAATGAGAGGCATTAGTTAAAAGTTGTCAAAGATCATCTTCTTCTCTTTTTGATGTGTCTTTGTCTGCTAACACTAACACAGCTCTCAGTCTGCCTGTTTTTCATACTTTGATTCATCTGCTGGTCACTGGTCTCTCCATCTTCACTGATGTAGCCCGGTGGGGGAGTCTCTGCAACAAAGAAAAAACAAAACAAAACACACACAAGCATACAATGTGAATTAGAGCTGGGCGATCAGTGTGGCACAACGTTTAGGAGTTGTAGCTCCCACCAAGATCAACGGTGAACCGTTGTACAAGTTTTGCAAATAGTGGTATGAGCTATCAGGCAGCCACAGGTGAAGAAGAGCAGAGAGAGGAGCAGGAGGCAGGCGAGTGAATCCATGCGTGATAGACTGAGCGTGCCGGGGGAGAGGCTACAACAATTACAACAATTACAAGCATGCACGAGTGTTGATGAGCTAATTACAGACAGTTTAAAAGGTGAGAGAAATCGATTTGAATCAAAATAAAATACAAGCTAAAGTCTGGACACTTTCAAGGACTCTATAAAAAAAGCTTTAAAAGACTTGTTTGATTTGTTTGATCTGCAACCAGTGACCAAACTCAAATCCTTCAATTTTTATGACACACTGAAAAAAATACTTCACTAAAAGTGGTTTCTGGCATTTAATTAAGTTAGGAATTATCACCAGAACTTAGTCACAACTCTTAAAAGTGAGGTGACAAACTGATGCACAAAATATATATATTTTTATCATCCAGTTTGACAGAAAGGCATGCTTTGAAAAGAAAAAAAGTAGCCTAACCTTTATTTTTTTTTTTAAACCACTTCAGTTTTTCAGGTTTAAAGAGGTTTTTAAGTTGCATAAATGTGTGTGATGCAGATGTCATAAACTTTCAAACTTAAAAAGCATAAAACAGACAGAATCTGTAAACACTGACTAACTGTTTCTCTTTTTGTTTGTTTGTTAGACTTCACTCACCTGGTATATAGTTATTGGGAGGGTCAATGCCAGCTGGGAAGTTGGTGTTTTCAGGGATGGAGTTGGTGAAGTCATCTAGAGGTGGAAGCTCTGTCAGAATCTCTGTGTGCCGTGGAACCAACACCGGGGGCAGCACTGGAGAGAGACAAACACGATTTTCTTTACAATGCAAAAATTCAGTTTAACATTAAAGAAAAAAATCACATGGAATAAAAACAGACACCACTACACTAATAGCTAAAATTACAAGTAAAAAAGTTTAGGGTTGAGACCTATTGGGGGCAGCTTGGAGATCACAGCTCTGACTATTTTGAGTAAAAAGTATTTCATGTAATCTCAAAGATGATCTTTACCAGGTGTCTCCACTCTCTGGTAGTGGTAGGGATTGACACAGACTTCGTCCTTTTTGAGGTTGAAAGCATACTGGCAGGCATCAATGGCCCTCAGCTCATGGTGACTGTGAAGGTCCGGCCATCTCCATAGGCGACAGTAGATGACGTGGGGCAAGCCTTTACGATGGGACACCTGAAGACGACCGTCGAGCGACCTGAGCAGAAATAGAAATGAGAAGTTCTTACACACCAGTGAGGCTCAGGTTGCTACTTTGTTTCAGCAAAAAGCCTTAAGGTTGAAAAAGTGATCGCTCAAGAATTGTCACTGAACTACAGCTGACACTAATCCTCTTTGAATCGGTCCTTTCACCATTTACTGATAGTTTTGTTACATGAGATGCACTCTAGTACCTTGGATGACTTTGATAAACAGAGATGGCTTCACAGATCATTATGCAATGACATTGTAGTTTACAAAAGATGACTGAACACTGATGCAAAACATGGACAAGACCGTTTTTACTGCATGTGTGAAGAGAAGAGAAGAACAGCAAGTTCGCTATGTTTGAGTGTGTGTGAGTATATTCACCTGCTGTGCTCTGGGTATCCATACATGCCTGCAGAGTCCCACTGCTCTATCGTGTGGCCTGAGCCTAGACCCCATAGATCTGAGCAATTGCTACAGAAACACAATCATGCGCACACACAGACACACAAAACATGCATACACAAAAGGACAAGTGCAAAAAAATGTAAAAGAAAAACAAAAAAGATGGTCTTAATGAGGTGTTTCATTCCAACTTAGTAGGATGAAATCACAGACAGATACTTTAGGCTGTTTAATGAAGGAGGACACTGACCAGTTGACAGATGATCATGAGACAAAGCAGTGTTTCACAAAGAGAAAGCTGCTCATGAATTATGGCAGACTTTGAAAACTCAAGATATAAAAAATAACACGCACCAATTTCTCACAGGAGCTGATATAAAACATCTGGAAATTAACATATCTGATCATTTCACTGCTTTTTGAAGGATTTATGTGGATTTAAGAAAAAGTCTTGCACTGATTGACGTTGACTTTTAACAGGATGCGCTTTTCTGAATTTATTTTCTATGATATAAAAATTATATTGTGAAGCAGCCGGTTAAACAGTGTGCATTTACTAATAGTGGTGTGTGAATGAGGATCCAAAGACACTCAACAGACTACACAGAGTGTGTTGAGACGAGACAAAAGGAAATGAAAAAATACAACATAAACTTTTTTTCTACATGCAAATGGTGCTCATGACTTCAGATAAAGATGAAATGTCCTGGTCAACCTGCTCACAAAAGTCCTTATAGTTGGACTCAACTATCCAAGGAATAAGGAGGCCTCTCTCTTCCAAATATTACAAATTACTACATAGCTGTGCAACTTAAGACCCTGGTTGATATATGCAACCCCCCCCCCATTTACCCCCAAAGAGAAGTTCAATGTATTCAAATAATTCAAAGAGTCTTTACAGGAAAAAGTAACAAATGACAAACGCAAACTTACAACTGAACTAGTACATTTTATTTTTATATAGATTTGCGCTGTCAAACCTCTTAAGAACTGTAGTCGGTACTATATTTAAGATCAGGTAAAGCAGACAATGTCAAGACAATAGCCATCAAACACACCAAGGAGCAGAACTTTGACTCTATACTATATTAACTGGGTTAACACTTATAAGCTTTCGTTAAAGAATTCTTAAGGAGCAAAAAAACTCGAGGTTGCCGGACATCATATGAGGGACATGTGTTTCCTCCAATCAGGTTTCACTTCTGCTGCCTTGCTTAACTATGTAACAACACATTGGGGAAGTAGAGCTTTTTTGTCCAAGAAAGACTTCTCTTTCTGCCAATTTGTGTGTTTTTTTTTCTCCTGACACCCACCACCACTCCCCCAGTGATGTGGTCATTACTTGTGATGTAGTGCTGAAACAGTTAATTAATTTAACCACTAGTTTGATTGAAAAAAACCCATCAGGTTTATTTTCAGATCAAGACTCTAATCAGAATAATTCTTTTTACTGATTTTAATGTAGGGGAAACAACTGTCCACTTGGTTGAAATGACAGCTTATAAACTTGCTGTTTGCTGCACTTTTCAGACACAATGTCAAAGACCATGTGTTTAAACAGGTGGGGCAATATGTGGATTACCTCACAGTTTTGATTAGCATAATTGCTACACCAGCCTGTGTATGTCTATGTTTGCAGCTGAGCACGACTCTGGCACATTTCTGCTGGTGTAAATGTGTGTTAAAAAGAGCAGAACGCCTTGGAAACATCTTTTTACTGGCACTCTCTCACATTACTTTATCTTTATATTGATAGACCACCACTGCTTGCTTTTCATTAAGTAGTGGTGCTTTTGATACGATCCCATGAGAAATTAACATACAATTACTTCAAAAAGACAAAGCCCTGGAAAGTACTGAAGTATAAAAACATTTGATAACCTGAGTTTGCAGTTGAATGAAAAATCTGAAAGATATGAAAATGAGGGATACCCTGTGTGTGTGTGTGTGTCTTAGTCTCACCTTGGTATGGTGACACACTTTGTGTTGCTGTTCTGTGTACTGATGGCTTTCTCCAGCTCATCCAGCTGCCCGGTCTTCTTCAGCTTCTTCACCAAGCTCTTCACAGCTTTTTCACACCATTTTTCCTCCTGTCCTCCTCCGTTCTGCTCGCCTACCCCTCCAATTCCTCCCCCTGCCCCTCCACTGCCTGCCGGGGTCTTCTTCCAGCCCAAGAGGCGTTTCACTACCGGGGGAGTGAAGGGTAGGATGGAGGACATGGTAGCTTGTGCTTGTGTGTGTTCCTTAAATTTGTCTTAATGATCTTATTGAGCAGACGTGGAACGAAGGGGACGGGGGAAGGAGGGTGAAACTGGTGGTGGCTGTAGTTTGGAGTTCTGAGAACTATAAAAAGCAAATACAAATGTGTTTGTCTTTAAATCTAATTTATGTCAGACCTAAGGCATTTACAGAGGTCTTGGCAAATGTCAAAATAAAAGTTAACAACTCGGGGTACAGCGTCGTCTGCATCCAGCGAAACCTACGAGACAGAGGGTAGAAAAAGGAGGCATCAATAATTGTTAACTCAAAGGGCAATACAATAAGGAAAATAAAGCTTTATAAACAAAGTACTGCATAATAATTCACTCTAAAAAGATGACTACAATAGGTCTAAAAGTGCAACTCAGAGCAACAGCTCTACTACAGTTTTCCAAGCATACACATTTTCTGTTTAAGTTAAAATGGTCGGACAGGTGATGATTAATGAAGAGACAAAACAAAAGGAACACCTTAATTGTATCTAACAATATAACACACTCCAATCCACCATCTATGTGTGATCATTGATTAATATACACAGATTGCTCAGGTGTCCGTAATATTCGTGTGTTACGCATGCACATTCATATATGTATATTTAAATATCTATGTGTCTCTTTCTTCTGCCCTCTCTCCGTACACAAACACACACTAATTATGACCTCCAGCACAGTGTTCTCCAATCAGCTCCGCTGGGATAAGGGATAACTGTCCTCGACATTCTCCAATGAAAGTTCAAGCTCCTTCTGAGAATTAATATTACAGGCTTAACCCTTGGACTGTTTACCAATGGAGCAAGAAGTATGGATGGTTTTCGGAACAAGATGGACCTTCCTTGAAAATAATTGGCAAGTGTTTTAATCTCAATATCTGCAGTTGATCGGTGTCACTCATTGAAGCATGTTGTTTATGATGGCCATCATGAATTACATATTTGCAGGGTTAGAATAACATGTTTTCTGATACTGTACTAATGTCCTGACGTGACTTAACCTTGAGTATGGCCGTTGATGCATTGGCCAAATGATACAATCAACTTTGATTCAAGGATTGATGCACAATGTAGGCTGAATAATCTCAAACAACCACAAAACTGATTGGGAGTCCCAGGTGAGACTCCTTGAAATGCTCTAAGGGAGCCTCTCTCACACTGAGTAAAAAGTCTACATCAGTGGTTCTCAACTGGTCTCACTCTGGGAGCCACATTTTCCCATGATACTTAAGTCGCGACCCACTTTTAGGTCGTATTCACACCTAAAGGTCCGTTTCCTGATTTGAATCCAAGGCAAGACGAAACATTTGTTTTGATTGTTTAACTGGTCCAGTTTGCGTTCACTAAGGACAAACTCAATCGCTCCAGAAAACGGAACCGAAAGTCACGTGACCGCGAATATCATTCGGTTATTGGTCATTAGTTTATGCAGGAATACAAACCCTGCTCTGCTGTCTTCGCCTGTCATGTAGCATCATAGGCTGATTTTGCTTTTGCTACTCATCTGGAGCGCGTATCAAAAGACGCTGGTCAATCGCGCGTATGAACGGCTCGTTAGCCAGCGAGCGCAAACTGCGGCATTAATTAATATATTCCAGAGTTCACGTGCTGCAAACAACGGACGGATTAAGACGAGACGGCGACAGGCATTAATGACCTGTGTGGTGCGTTTCCTGTGATTGGTGTGGATGAAATGAACCGCTCCAGAGTTCACTTGATAGCGGTCCGAGACCACCTCTTCAGGCGGACCAGAGTTCGTTTATTTGGTCCGCACCAGAGTTCGAGGTCAGCGTTTCCACCAACCGAAACAAACCGCACCAAGGGGGTAAACGCTCCAGGGTTCGGTTCAACCGGACTAAACGAGGGTGGTGTGAACGCGCCCTTATAGAATTCAAACCAAGAAAAATAATTCTTTATATTAAAAAAAAACCTTTAAAAGACTCAAGTCTTCAACATATATCAACTTGTTTCACTGAGTTAAGTGCATTCCAGAGCACAACGTGAGGATGACAACTACTGAAGTTGCTTGTGCAGAAAATATCAAACATCTCATTGATATCTACTTTTTTCGTGACCCATCCAGAACGTGTCCGCGACCCACTTTTGGGTCGGGACCCACCAGTTGAGAACCACTGGTCTACATGTAAGAAAACCAGAAAACGCAATACGTGCCTTTGTAGCCACATTGTTTTCGTGTACTGGTAATGCTGACCAAAAGTAGGCTACCTTCCAGGCCTTTGGGGCAACATTAACAACGGTATGCCTGATAGGCTACGTTTTGTCTCCTATTGTAGGTTATGTTTGGGTTACTTCTAAGAAAGCACATCGATAGCCTGCACCAATAGCGACGGTTGAGAGAATATGCTAACGCTACAAACGGCGACTCTCACTAAACAATCAGTGAATGAGGAATCTGAAAGGGCAAGCCTGTTTACAACCCGTTCACATCAATATCTATCTGTAGTTATTGTGAAGATAGCCTGCTCGTTTGTCTCGAAATGACTGCTAGTCCCCCCCTTCTCTCCGTTGCCTCCTACCCCGCTCACATCCCAAAGAAAGAGTACGAAAAATCCGCTAGCAAGCTTGCTACTTTGTGTCACAGACAAATAAACATGTCTGTTGCACGCTCAGACTCTTACAATTCAACCCGTTACACTGCTAATAACACACTCACCTTACAAGACGACGGAAGGACGCTTAGCAGTTTCTTAAGAGCCTGTCGGAAAAATACAGTTTGTTCATTGTGAATGTGGCCAGAAAGACATAAACTGTATTTTCCACCTTCGAGCCGCCGGGATGATGGCCCCTCATTCAAAGCTCAACCTAACTTGTATCGCCCCATGCAAAACAGCATCGGTGGAACAACCGACTATGCCCCGCCTTCTCCAGCATCTTATTGGCTAATTTCCCGTATTCAGCGGATAACCTGTTGCCAGACGTTAGTTCTATTGGCTTGAGGATATGCCCGTCAAAATATACAGAGGTATGTTTAGAGATATGAGTGGATATGTTACTTGTTTTTTTAAATAGTCGATGCTACAATGAAATAACCCATGAAATAAATATGAAAATACCTTTATTAATAATAATAATAATAATAATAATAATAATAATAATAATAATAAAGAGAATACTAAAATAATAATAATAATAATAATAATAATAATAATAATAATAATAATAATAATAATAATAATAATAATAATAATAAAGCGCCTGACGTGTCCTACAAATGCTCATTTTCGCACACACACAAATGATGATAAAGACATCTGAAAAACTGCTAGGGTTTGGCATGGTCACAGTTAACTGTAGGCTATACTCATTTAAGTGCTGCTGCTATTATTTCTTTAAGTTTTCTGCCCAGGCAAGTCTTCAGAATAAAATACCTTATAGGCAAAACTTTGTACAAAATAACCAGAACCATAGGCGACTGCCTCACCCTAAATCTTTTTTTTTTTTTTTCACAGATGCCATACCATAGCTATTCAGCCTGTCAGAGACATTTTTTGTTGTACTTTCAGAACTAAAAACATGGCTTGCACAAAAGGGCTGTCAGAGTTATCTAAAGTATGTGCGTGATTGAACAGTAGATATGATTATTCAAAGTCACTGTGGGCTAAGCAACCACACTGCTTCTGTTTGGTCAAGTATTCATAGAGCCTATCATTTGGCCACATCATGCAAATATGGAAACGAAGTCATGCACCCACATCGTATGCATGCAAATCAATCCTTTTCTGATGTTGAATTGCTCGATGAAGCTTTTTTTCTCCCGAGTTGTAGTCCATCTTCGGCAGAAAGTCCCCCCCATCGTAAATTGACAAGAAGCAAAGGGCGCATGCTCTGTGCAAATAGTCACTTGAGAGTTGTTGAAGCTGCCGCCGCCACTGCTTTGTCAGACGTATGTAAGATTTGCGGGATGCTTCTCGTAATCCTTCATTGATATGGACAAAACTGAAGCCCTGACCTGCCATGCTTTAACCAGCCCATACAAGCCGGATGAAAAACACGGATACGAAAGTTAAAAACCACAAGTCATTGTGCTTTTTATTTCAGTCGACCTGACCAACGTAAGGACACACAACTGTGAGTAATTCATTTATGTCTGTCAGAATTTTTTGAGTCGGTAGGGGTCAGGTAAACACGTCTAAAAAGTGACTGAAGGTACATTACAAAACTTATTATCACAGCCGTGTGGGAGAAACATGTTGTTGGTCTGAGGTTATCATCCAGTCTGAACAGATAGCCTATTACAGTTGTGCTGCCGTCACTTAAATATTTTATGACGCCAAAGTTAAAGTAATAGCTGTATTTATAGGGCTTATGAGATTTATGTAAAAGTGGTTTAATGCAAATTGTTCCAAATGACTTGTTCCACACTGTGTCTGCAGGGGCTATGAGCCTACTGGTAAGTCGGTGCTGGAGATGCTCTTCAGTGTGTAGACAAGAACAGATAATAGACCTCACTGGGCCATCACCAGGGAGACTGACACCCTGGAGGGTAGCCTGTAGTTTTATCTTGAAAATCTCTGCGGTAGACCTGTGCTACAGAGTTAAGAGTGAGGAAGCAATTTGATATTTTCCTCTATCGGGATTATAAAATAATGACTCTCCTTATGTGATCTTATTTTTTTTGTTTATGTCTGCAGGTGTGTGTCTGAATTGTAAACTCAAGGGCATGGGAAAATGCTGCAAATGCAACAGCAGGCTGCTGTGTATGTGCCTGCTGCCTTTCATGATGACTGGCCATCTTCTGGTTTATATCATGGTGTCCATATTTGTCACAATCTCATACAGTCCTCCAAAAATAACCATCCACTATGTTGCCCCTGGGATTTCTGCTAACTCCTCTGCAATGGCCTCTTACCCACTTCGCCCTTTCTGGAACCTTCGCTTGGAGGACAGTGCATTGTGGAATCAGATGCAGCATGCTTGGGACCGTCAACATAATCCAATATTACGAGGAAATACAACTGGGATGATGAGGATGAATTCAGAGGCTAAACTGTTATCAGAAACTGAAGAGGAATGTCTTTCTGACTGCATGGCAAAGTGTTCAGTCCCTCGTGTACATGGTTTAGACAGTTATCCAGATCAAATGAAAGCATTTATCAGATCAATGCACTGCAGGGAGTATCCTCTCCTCATCAACCAGCCTAGTCTGTGTAGGAAGAACAGCAGTAGCTTCATTTTGGATTCTCCTATGCTCATTATGGCCATCAAATCCCAGGTGGGAAACTTTGAAAACAGGCAGGCCATCCGGGAAACATGGGGGCGCAGCGGTCTAGTGAGGGGGGAATCAACAAAAAAAGGTGGATTAGTGCGCACTGTGTTTCTGCTTGGGAGGCAGGACTCTAGTACGGGTCCACATCCGGACCTCAAAAACCTTCTGGAGCTTGAGAACCAAAAATATCAGGATATTCTACAGTGGGATTTTAGAGATACTTTTTTTAACTTGACCTTGAAGGACTTACTATTCTGGCACTGGCTTGAACAATACTGCCCTCATGCCATCTTTGTGTTCAAAGGGGATGATGATGTCTTTGTCCGCACTGGTGCCCTTCTGGATTACCTTCACATGCAGTGGGAGGAGCATATTCTGTGGAGAGCCTATACAAATGAAACCCACATGAATTTGTTTGTAGGTGAGGTTATCAATAATGCAATGCCTAACCGTGAGCCATCAACCAAATACTACATACCAGATAGTTTCTACCAAGGGGTTTACCCACCTTATGCTGGTGGAGGAGGGGTGGTGTATTCCGGCTCACTTGCACTACGATTGAAAAAGGTGTCTGAAAGAGTTCGCCTCTTCCCAATCGATGATGTGTATCTGGGCATGTGTCTGTACAGATTGGGGCTCTCACCTAGCCATCATCCAGGTTTTCTGACGTTTGATCTCCCAGAGGCAGACAGGAGCAAACCCTGTGCTTACAAATCTGTTCTGCTCGTTCACAGAAGGACTCCAAATGAGATGCTGATGCTTTGGAAGCGACTTCGAAATCTACCAGGTCATTGCTGAGGCTCATTTGCCTGCCAAATATGATCCATTGAGAACAGGACAAAAGCTGCCAACACATTTATGTGGAAAGTGTTCATGTGACTGCACATGCATATTAGGCAGGCTACACCAAGGGCACATGCAGTGTACCTTCCTGTGTAAGAGTTACACACAACATTGAGGAGAGCTACCTCATAGGGTATTTTGTAAGCACTACACCATAAAGGTTTATTATAATATCAATGTTGAAGTATGTATGTGTACCCTTTCAACTAAAGGATTTAGTTTATTACAATAAATCTTGTGTAAAGACGATATATATTTGGACATGTTCACTGGTGGGCATTTATTAACTAGTGTTTTCTCTAGTTCAGTTTGGTCCAAAATAATAGAAAACAAATAGTTTGTGTTTAATTTTAAATGATCAAACTGCATCTGATCCTACAGTAACAGTTGTTAAAATGTGTAGGAGATTCAATGATCTGCTTTCAGAACAAAAAAAAGATTAACTTATTTATGCTTTTTTTTCTATGGTGTTTTACAAGTAACAGTTTTTTCTACCAGCTCGTAACATTACAACTCTGCAATAATAAGTTTGATATTTACCTTTTAAAGAATTTCAGTCATGAAAACTATGAATGTGGCTAACTAGTAATGCTATCTTATAAGAGAACACATTGTAAGGATTAGGAATGTAATAAGAGAGGGACAGTTGCAATGAAAATGTTATTTGTGGTCATACTCAAGGATTTTAACACACACTTTAAATGCTGCACAATAAATAAACATTGATACATAAAAGAGATTTTTATTTCAAACTTGTGTTTGTTCATCTTTGCCATCAGTGTTATAAAGTTTGAATTTGGTCATAAGAAGCTATACTAATTAGAGATATCTTGATCATTAAGGACGCGTAGTTGTCAGTGTTTGCACAAAGAATGATAATAAAACCCCGGCTAGATTTATTTTTCTGAAAGCACGGTAAACAGGTGGCTGTGGCTCAGTGGTGGAGTCAGTCGTCTCCTGACCAGAAGGTCGGGGGCTCAACCCTAGTGCTGTCCACATGCTGAAGTGTCCTCTATATTCACCCAACCTAAACCCAATTGATTTGGTTTGGGGTTAAGTTAAACCGCAGAGTAAAGAAAAAGCAGCCAAAGGTTCTCAGCACATCTAAAAAAAACTCCTTCAAGGCTGCTGGAAAAAAACATTCAAGAGCGACTGACTACCTGATGAAGCTGGCTGAGACATTGTGACAGCAGAGCGTTCAGACCTTTCTTATTCAGAGGATGACAGCAACATCGCTTACCTTTCAAAAGTCCTTGCCTTCCTGAAAGCTGCTATTTCATAGAATTTATTGAATATCAGATGGGAAATCAGGAGACCAGAGAAGCTGACTGGAAGTGTAGCTTCAAAAACAGTTTCCCACTCTCACAATCTTTTATATCGCAGAATGACACAACCCATGATCTGCACAAAATGTTTACCTCGTTGAAATACACTGTGCTGGCTTCTGAAGTGGGAGAGTGAGCTGAAATAACAAACTTCATAGTTGCACTCATGTTGATCATAATGTTCAGCAAAATTACTTAATGTCAAGCTAAGATAAAAAATTATGATTATACACAATGTATGAGTTTACAAGGCAAAGGTCAAGTTGAGCCATACTTAAAAGACCTGAACGGCTGTCAGTGTGCTTCAGGTGGAAGACTGCATATGTTTTATCTGCAACCAGTGCAAAATCAGATCCAGGGGCAGTACAAGAACAGCCCTGAATAAAAAAAAAAAAAGAATAAACAAGAGTGTACACTAACACCAAAATCAGCGTTTGGGTTGGACTACTGGAACGCTTGACTAGGACAAGATTTATGTGCAGGTGCAATTAATCATCATGTTGTTCGGGTGACATTTGCAATAGTCTGCATGTGAGAGCCACCAGTTTTAAATACCATTGCCAAGTATGAATGTGCCTTTTTGCATGAAGGCTTGATATACCAATACAAAAAAGAGACTTGAATAAAGCACAGTGAGTTCTAACTGATTGTAAGTGAATATGATCACCACAATCTGTGAGATAGAAAGTGATGACATGAGTTTTAGTTAAATGTAGCTCTAGCTCAGGACGAGGAGGAAGGTTCAGGACTCTGTATGCTGTGTAGAGTTTCACAGCATAACTTAACTCCCCTGCAGTATAACATGCTGGCTTACAACAGCATCAGTGAGTGGTGTGAGAGCACACGAGAATTGCTAATACGAGCACAGGCTCCTCAGTGTTGAGTCCTTTGGTGTTACCTGTGCTCTCTACCTCAGCGAGACAGCAAACCAGTAGTGTTTGTCCTCATTGCTTTACTTTTATCACAGATTTCCACCAGGTGGAGCTGTTGACATCTTATCCCATCTTTATGTTGGTCCTTTGTAAAAAAAATTTAAAGGCATCTTGGGATACAACTTGTGAATTGGTGCTACATGAATAAATAAAGATTGATTGGTTGACTGAGACTGAACTTTTTGATCAGAAAAAAGGAGAATTGGTTTTATTGCTGAAATTTGGTTTTCAGCAATCAGCCTCTAAGAATTTTAATCCATGAATAAAACTTTTCAATTGCAGGTTTTGTTTGTTTTTTTGTGAACACATTAGCACTGTTTCACATTTCAATACAAAAATAGTTTATATTCTGCACACAGTCTCCTCAGGTCCTTTTCTGTCATTTACACATGCCTCCACTAGATGGTAGCCTGCTCTCAGGGAAGACTTCCCTGAAAAAAAAAATACATGTTAATAAATATATGTCAGTACATACCAACCTTTGAGATGAACTCCAAAAAGTGAGGGTAGAATAGAAGTGAGGAGGTGGAGAATAAGAGCAAAAGGTAAAAAAAATAAAAACCAGAGGAACAAACAAGGTAACAAAACCAGAGGAATGAGGAGGAGGAGAAGGAGGGGAAAGCATCAGAAAACAATATTTTAAAGCTGGTGGGACAACCCCCCCCCCCCCCCCCACACACACACACACACAGACAATCACCTGCCCATACTGCTGTGTTCTTGTCCGAGTTTGTCCCTAAGTCAGATGGTTTTCAGTGTGCCATAATCCCCTTCTTTCCCCGAACACTAAAAAAAGAGATATCCTTCTGTCTGTCTAAGTGGCTCTGACGGCCACCAACTCACACACACACTCACACACACACTCTCACACACACACACACACACACACACACACACACACACAAACAGACACGAGATGCAGAACCGCCAGCTTATCAACATGCAGTTATTCCTTTGGCACAGGATCGCAGGCTGTTAATTGGCTGCCAAGCAGAATATGTGTGTCTGTGTGTTTTTGTGTGTGTCTGTGTCTGTGTGTTTGTGTCTGTACTGCAGAGACGGGGTTGCTCAGAAATTCCCGTCACGTCTCCGAGCCCCGATTAAGACGTTGCTCCAGTTTTGAACAGACAGACGTGGGGAGGAGGGGGGGAGAGAGCGGGAGAGGATACAGCAGTGGAGTGGGGGTAGGGGTTGGAAGATGAGAGACATCAGAGAGAGCAGGATGAGAGAGAGAGCGAGAGAGAGAGGTGATGGGGCAGGACTGAGGAAAGGAGGGGAAAAAGTGAAGGGTGAGAGTGAAGTGGGATGCTGCAGTGTCTCTGTGTGAAAAACCTGGAACTGATATCTCTCCTGCTTTGCCATCCTTATCTCCATTATAGGGCTGCAAAAGAGGAGGAGTCATATCAGCTATCTACTTTGGAGCTCCAGGAGAAAGTTTGTTTGCTGTGTACATACTGTTTGGAGACCGCCACTGGCAAACTCTGAAAGCTTAGAAAGATCTCCTGGGTTGACAGTCTTTGCAAACAAAAACAGTAACAAAAAATCAAGCAAACAAAGAAACAAACAAGGTCTGTTCAAGGTCAAGAGTGACGGAAAGTAGATCAGCCACTCTCTGCTTGCCAGGATTTTACATCATGGTATTAACATAAATTATCTGTCTATGTGTAAAGGTCTCAATTATTACATATGCCATACAAGGTCTCAGTGATTGAGCCATTACAGGACAAAAAGAGCAATGTTGAATTCTTAACTCTGATAGTTTAAAAAAAAAAAAAACAGTAGGTAGTAGGTAACAACATGCCCCCTTTCAGCTTGTGTGGTCTCCTGTTCAACATATTAGGAATCAAAACAGTCAGAAAACATGTTAGAAAGAAGGTAACAGGATGTAAATCAGCGGAGGACATTCCTTTTAATCTTGTCTGCAGTTTATCCCAAACTTTGATGAAGCTGCTGTTTTAACTGAAGGCAGGATGTTTCCCTCGCTCTAACACATTTGTTTCTGAGTTTAAACACATTGATCAGGTTAGATCAAACTGACTACATTTGTCTTGCAGAAATGTTTCTATCATGAACCTACTGCAAACAGATGTGTGTGCGTACATCTCTGAGTGTTTGTGTGTGTGAACCTCCTGCTGTTTAATTCATTCGTGCTCCTGTAATGCAATGTGAGACCACAAGATTGTTAGTGAAAAATGACAAGGTGTACAGACGCTAGAGTTTAACTTTTTCATTACAGTGCTGTTGAGGTCTTTTGATTAAACTAATACATGCAGGGAGCAGGATGATCATTTAAAAGTGTGTTTTTTGAACTTTTGGTTAATGCCTAAATGAAGCCCTAAGAGAGGCTGTTTGGCATATCAAGGCCAACCAGGTCACATGACACAAACTTCTTCTCTATCTGTATGAACATACTGTACACACAAACTCAACACCTCCATTTCATTATAGGTTTTCTGTTATGTAATGAATCCTTAGACAGGGAGAAGAGGCGTCCTAGCATACTCATACACAGGCAGACACAAAAACACACATCACACAGCTGTCTGCCAAACACTGACAGAAGGCATGTTGCTTTTCCTCAGCTGAAGCATCCACACGGCCTATTTTGATTTGTTGTTGACAAGTCAGCGCCACAGAATATATATTTATTTCAAATAGAAAGTTTTTGTTTTTCACATGCACTCAGATGGTGTCAGAG